TGATTGAATAGGAATGTCTACAATGCTTTGCTAGCTCACATGACTCACAATGAAGACTAGATAAAGACACTCCTTTAAACATATCTGGGAACAGATGACTTAAAGCAGAAAAAAGACAAATGACCAAACCGAAAATGACATAACAAAATTTTGTTAACAGACTCTGACACAACTGACTCTAAAGCAACTCCATGAGGTGGTCCCAAGGCTTGATTTGGTGTGTCCAACAGGTATATTCCGTTCGCCTCATGGCCACTTCAATCGTCTTCTGAGACTGCAAGTTTTGAAAAACACAATGAGTGGAAAAGAAGGTTATGCTGCAGTTCATGGACTTTGTTAAGCTACTAATAGATAAAAGGTTTGTGTTAAGCTTAGGAACATGGAGAACAGAAGATAAGAACAAGGTGTCAGAGGTCTTTATATCTCCTTTACCAGAGATAGGGGCAAGTGACCCATCGGGAAGGGATATTTTCTCTTTCTCAGAGAGGAGATGATATGAACAAAAAAGGTTAGATAGGCTGGTCATATGGTCTGATGCACCAGAATCTATAATCCAAGGGAGTTTATGATTACCTGAAACTGAAGCATGATTTGTTGAGGCATATGTACCTGAGTGAGCAAAAGTCGATGAAGAGGATGTACTGTTGGAAGGGTTGGCTGAAGAAACTGTAGCTTCCAGGTGATTTAGGAGCCTCCCATACTTCTCAAAGTCTAACTTCATTGCAGCCAACTGCTCAATGGTTGATGTTTTCTCACTCTCCTTACTTCCCCCTTCAGGTACTGTAGCACCATTAGCAGTCTTGGGTTTTCCCGCTTGACTGCCCTTCTTAGGATTGCTCTTAAACCTCTCAGGGAGTAGTCCAGGGTGAAGTTTCCAGCAGGTGTCCTTGGTATGCTGTGGTTTCTTGCAATATTCACACACCTACTCCCCCTTTTCAGTAGGCCCCTTAGATTTCATTCTCGCATGTGCAAAGTGTTCTGTAGGTGGACTCTGCAACTGAACTTGTCGTCTACTTTCCTCACTACTTATCATGGCATATGCTGTGATAGAGTAACCTCATCTCTGGCCAAAATATTCTGTCTGATAATATCAAACTCAGAGTTGAGTCCAGTGAGAAACTCGAACACCCTATTTTTCTCCACCAGCTTTCTA